ATTGATTAAACTTTGAATACATGTTGGATATTCAAACCATTAACGAAATTCTCATATGTTTTTAAAGCTAATAGTTTTCTTTGTAATACCATAATGATTTCCTTCCAAGCTTCTATAACTCTCTCTCATGATTTAATTTTTTACCGTTTCTGCTTTCTCCCGCAATAACTCATATTTCTTGGTTTCTAAATAGCTATCGTGGTATCATTCGACAGAGCAAGGCAAGCTTTGCAAGAGCGATTCAAAGGTGTTCCTAATCTGTTTCGCACATAATTCGAAGTAAAAATCTAAAAGATTTGATTGCAAGAATCGAGAAAAATTGTATTTCTGTCGAAAAAAAATCCTATGAGTTTCTTATTGCCTCGTATACACTTACATTTAGTATTTATCTGTAAATTCTGTGAATTTGCTGAATTTTTGCATGGCTAGAACTCGAAAAACGGAGATACACCGAATTGGGTTAATAATGGGAAAAAGCGCTTTTCGTTTTTTGTGCCCTAAAGTTGTTGTTTCTCAAAACTATCGCCTGTAAACTGAAACTCCACGGTTGCACTTCCAAGTTTCAAACTTTACTTATGTGGGAGCTGTCCAGCGGAGGTTTGGCTAAAACATGAAAAATATTTTTCCCCATTTCTGAGCGTAAAGAGGAAACAAATAAATTTATAAACCACAGATGTGGAGAGTACATGGCTGAGCAAATAAGAAGTTTGTAGGAATCCTTTGGATGGAGATACGATTTTTTTCTCAATTTTCGGAGCCTCATTGTCAGATCTTTTTAGATCCCTGTTTCAGCTTTATGTGATACAAACTTTGAGCAAATTTTTACTGCACTACTGTAGAGCTTGCTTTTTCTGTTCAGATGTACCGTGAAGCCCTATTTGGGAAGCAAGAAAAATGTGAGATATTGCGAGAGAAGAGTGAAAAATATGAATCAGCCCAATAGTTTCACTTCCTAATTTCCATCACAAATCTTGCGAAATCCTCATCATTCATGAGAGCGATCGTCACTGCATCGTATGGGATACGCTACAACAGAAGGCTGAATACTATATTTTCAGATTCTGCTAACCATATTCTAAACGAGAATCATTAGTATTGGGACCTATTTATTCTCTGGTCGCTTTCTGCTATTATTCTGCTATTTATTCAGATGAGTGTGAGTTCCAATTTTTTGGTAAAGCGCTCGCTTTTACCATTAATTTTGTACCTAACATAGACTCCCAGTATGAAGTAATTTCACGACAGATGTTCTTTCCAAACTAAACCCAATGACCATTAATTATCATACAAAACAAGTATTTTTCGGTAACATATACTTCTTCTGGATTCAACCCCTAGAAAGAAAAGCGATATGAATGATTTAGAGTACCCAATGAGGGTGAAGGATACGGTATGCCTTCACCCAACACGGAAAGTTTTGTTGCATGCACGCCCCGCCTGCAAATCTAAAGAATGGTTTCGTTTTGGTGTCACAATATACAAAAGTGAATGAAAAAGACCTCGTAGTAGCTCCGGCCATAATCGATTCTGAGACTCCAGTTGTTTTGGTGTCTAACCCCACTAACCAACCAATAACCCTGTACGCAGGGATGCGCTTAGCAAACGCTTGTGAGGTATTGCAAGAGGGTTCCACAGTCACTGAATTGAGCGATATGCAAAACATACCCGCAATGCGCGAACTAACTAGCGACGACCCAGACTATCGCATAGATCTTGATGGCAGCGATTTAAGTAACGCAGAGCGCGAACAGCCCTCAAACCTGCCTATAGAGTTTGCAGACGTATTCTCTAGGCATCAGTACGACGTAGGTAGTTGTACGGCGGGTAAAGTACATATCTATACTAACAACGACCCGCCCGCATGCATTCGCCCTTATCGCGTTCCAGTAAAGTATTCTGAAGAGCTGCAAAAGCACGTAAACATGCTTTTAAAATGCGTAAATGAAGGAGTCACACACTCCATGGGTGCATAATTTAGTTGTAGTGCGTAAAAAGGACAATTCACTGCGCGTCTGCCTAGACATGCGCCGTCCTATCAATGAAGTGACTTAACATTTCCCGATCCTTATCCATTCCCTCGTATCGATGACGTGTTAGAGAAAATCGAGGGAAACAAGTACTACACTGCACTGGATCTAGCTAGCGATTACCTACAGCTCCCATTAGATGACGAAAGTAGCTATAAATGTGGCCTAATAACTGAGGATCGGGTGTATCAGATGACACATCTGCCATTTGGTCTAAAATCAGCTAGTAGTTACTTTGCTCGCATAATGACCCGCGTGTTAGGAGGTTTAAGGAGATTTAGAGGATAACGTGCTCACATATATTGATGACAGTCTAATCTATAGCAAAGACTTCCCATCGCACCTCAACGCCATCCAAAAAGTGTTAACTCGCTTGCGCGAATTTCACCTAAAAGCATCGCCGAAAAAGTGCGTCTTTGCCAGACATCAGATCACTTTCCTGGGTCATACGGTAAACATGCATAGCTACTCACCTGCAGAGGCAAATACCCGATCCATAAGAGAATTTCCCACCCCGCGCAACGTCAAGGAAGTCAAGCGATTCTTAGGCATGGTCGGGTTTTTCCGAAAATTCATTCCAAATTTTGCAAACATCGCCGAACCGCTCACCTGGCTGACGCGTAAAGATAACAAATTCCAGTGGACCGACAAAGAGGAAGCCGCTTTTGTAGAGCTTAAGGACGCATTGTCGCAACAACCCTTCCTTGTTACCCAAACTACGAAAAACCATCCACATTTTCACTGACGCTAGTATGGTAGACCAAGCGGGCACACTAATGCAAGAGCATGAGTTGGGACCAAACAAGCATAACGCTATAGCATACTGTAGCCGCACATTGAGTGACAGCGAACGCGCTGGCCCGCAGTGCAAGTAGAATTAGGCGCAACAATATACGCGCTACGCCAATTTAAGCCCTACATTTGTATGGCGGAAGTAGCTTTACATAGCGACCATAAACCGTTAACATTTTTGCTAAATCAGAGTAAAACACAATAATTCAGCCAGGTAGATAATTGAGTTACAAAGCTTTAACATCAAGGTAGTACATGTCAAAGGCGAAAAGAATACGGTAGCTGACGCATTATCGCGCATATCTGAAGATAAAAATGAAGTTCCTATAGTCAGAGACGAATTGCAGGTAATAGAATTCCTTGTTAATCTACAAACTTTTTGTCTCGCTACTGGTGTAAAACCTGCATCTGCGCCTTTCCCTAGAAATACTTTTGTAAAAGGGTCTGAGCATCCAATCAACTTTGCGGACGAACAAAAGGCTGATAGTTTTCTAAACATGGTACTCAACTTGATCCCAAACGAGGCACGAGCTGAGAACGACAAGGATACCGAGAAAGATTAACATGTCGCGAAATCGCGATTTGTATGCTGATCGTTCAAGTCAGAAGACCTGAAAGGAATGTGCAGCTGCGCGGCTTGCAGCTGCGCGAAGACACAGCTGCAGAAGTTAACACGGTGCTCCTGGAAGGGACTGGCTTTGTTAACTTTCGATCTAAACAACGACCGCGCCTTGCCTCTTCAAAATCGTCGCTCCCCTCTTTCCTCAACCATTCATCGCTCATTACCTCATTATCATTTGTCGTCATTAACGACTATATATCATATTAAAATCTTGTTAGACTCATAAAACTGTACTATGACCAAACGCTTACTCATCTTAAACCAAGAAGTGCACGTTTGATAGCTAGAAATCTTGCACTTCTTTCATTCAGCTTCTTCAAGTGCATGTTTGCTTCTGATTTGTATAGATGCACTTGATTTCCCAAGCTCCGATGAATAAAGGGCAACTCGCGCTTAGCCTCAACTCCTTCATAAAAACTTCTTCTCTTTATCTGCGAGGCGTATAAATAGCGCTGAGCCCGCCTCTGATTCATTTGAGCTTCTTACAGTTTTTACAGTTCATTTAACCTCATCCTGTAATCTCATTTGTTACCCTCACATTTATTCCTCACTCAATCGCTCATTTATTTGGTGCCTTACACGTATAATCTCACTTACTCTCCGAATCTCATTTAATACTACTCATACGAACTCATTTACAATTATTCCGCCTCTATTCTCATATAATTGCAATACTCACATATTACCGTATTTACTCGTTGTTTGTATGATTTTTATAGTTACTAATAAAGTTCAATTATCCAAGTTTGAGGTTGGCTTTGGCAATCCGCGTGGCTGGTATCTACCAAACGGCGAGCACCAACACTCAATGGCAATCAAGCAACCACCAATCAAGCACAGTCAAGTACACAAGAAAAGCCACTTCATTTCTTGTATCATTGCTATTTTTGTCGTATATATAATATATGTTTGTGTGCTGTTTTGACGCTATAAACGATTGTGAAGAAGTATACAGTCGGAAGTGTTGGCAACGAGCACACAGCATCTTGCGGTCGAGGAATGCTTGACACGGCTGACGGTGCAGGATACAATGGCGGAGGAGTTTCTCCAAGGGACGAAGGACACCACAAGGCATTATGTACCATCCCAGATTCGGAAGGAGCATTGCAGCAAAGAAATTTGGACGCCAACGATAGATATCAACAAGAAGCATCTGAGCTGGACAGTTGCAGAATCAGCTACGATTTCAGAAGCTGAGAGGAACGACTACGACAAGAACGGGAGCGGATCGAACAAGTAAACGCGGACCACGGAAGCACCTTCTGAAGCCGACGGCAGTGTCGTCGACCACAGCGACAAATACAAAAAACATTCCTCGCGCATCTGCGCCTCGATGCTGTATGATGAGAACGTCGATAACATCGAGGGACAATCCACAGGTTCAGGAAAGGTCAAAATCCCGGCTCGCGACTCCAAAGGCTCATGGATTACCAAGAAATGCTGATTATGGGAAGAGAGTGCAGGGAGACGTGGTTCTTAACAACGAACATTAGCCACGTCTCCAATATTTACAAGATCAAGGCCGAGGCAAGGCTGATCTCTAAGGAAAGATAACAAGTATGTCAGGTGCTCGAGATGGAGCGGGATCCCGTGAGCAAGCAAACGATGAGTGAGATCGCTCAGAACGTGAGCCGTGCTGAAGCAAGGTCTCGACAAGGTTAGGGACTATATGTCCGACGTACTCGAGATGATGAAGGAAGACGAAGAAGAGCTACGAGAGCGGCAGCAGCGCGACCCAGAACCACGTATGTTCGAAGCTCCTCAACAACCGCCAGAAGAAGACACAGCGCAACCCGGACCGAGACGGAGCAGGAATGGAGATGAAGCAGTAGCGGGGCAGCCGCCCGAGAAAAGAAGCCGCCAACAAGCAGAAGATGAGCAAGAAGACGAAGGAAACGATTGATGGAGAAGAGCGATCACCAAGCAGGCCCGGAGTGTCGAGAAACTCGACCGATAATTTCTATATTTTCTCTATGGTTCTGCTTTGATGACTGATTTTTGATTGCTTTGAAAACTGAGTGCGCGGCAAGCCCTTTCTTTGCGCGGCTGCAGCTGCGAAAATAATCAAGTAAAGAGGAAGTGGGCGCCGCAGCTGGCGATCTCCTCCTCGTTTTTGACTTGAGCGTCATTTGGTCATCATTGCTTTATCTCGTTTGGTGGTGACTTATATTCACTTCCAAACTTAGTGCCTTTATTTGCTTTCAGTTCAGGTAGACCAAAACATATCAAGTATGTTATCCCTAACGTTTTGCCATAATCAGAATCTCATGTTAAGCTGGTATTATATTTTGCGTGCAATATCGTTTATTTGAAGTTTATAGTTGTTAATAAAGGTTTAATTACCCAAGTTTGAGGTATTCCCTCGTGCACAACTTCGTCACTCTAAAGACCCGCGTGGCGGTGATATTTTGGTGACATTGTCAAGTGTTATTCGACGATTATAGTACTGACTATATATTTCGTCCACTATCCATTACAAAGCTTGAGGAGCTGTGAAGCATCGATATATTTTTTTCTTATGTGCTTTGACATTTCATGTTTTTGATGACGTAAACTGATATAAGCCTCATATAAAATCCTTCATACGTGAGAATTTCATCCAAAAAATCTAGCATTATACAAGTATTGGCTTGAGAGGAAATTTTACACATGATGCTGCGTAATGTCATTTGGCAGGTTTAGTTCACTCTAAGCTTGTTGAGTTTTGAGTGCCTTAAATAGCTTTTACTTCAGTTTGACTGACCTTAACCTCTATTGCGTAGTTTTTAGCATTTGCCTTTTACTTAAGTTTTTGTCGATTTAACCTCCATATCGTAGCTTTCACTTTAATCATCACCTCACTTATATTTTTGTGTATTGCTCATTTATTCGTGCATATGTTGATTGCGATCGTTAGTTAGTAAAAGGTCCAGTTACCCAAGTTTGAGGTATGTGTGTACGAGTAAAGATCCGCGTGGCAGTTTCTGGCATTGGTATTTTTACAAGTGGTATTCGAAGATTATAGTGCCCCAATATCACTTATCGTCTGTTTCATCTCACACATATTTACTTACTCTGTGCGTCCCAATTTGTCCTGCTCATTTACAACTATTCCACTTGTACTCATATAATCGCATTAGTGTCATATTACCGTATCTATGCCGTTGATTGTGCGATTTTATATTTACTACTAAAGTTCAACTACCCAAGGCTTGGGCTAAATCCGCGTGATTGATATCTACCGAACGGCGAGCAACTAACAGTCAAGTCAAATCGAGCAACCACTCAACCAAGAAGACAAGAAATACTTTGATTCTTGTAGATAGGATACCGATGTTCTCCAAGATGAGCGCGACTTCCAGCAACTAATAGGCGAACATATGCGTTGAAGGACTTGCACACCCAGACGCTATATTCAGGGCTTCATCTTACGCAGTGATGAGCGAATAATCCAGTGTGTCTTCTGCAAACGCGTAGGCAGTCATTACTCAAATCATGTCAAATCATCGCAGACGCAGCCACACGCCGAGACTTGCTGCGAGCTGAAGGTCGCAGTGTTGTGTGTTCAACAAGGAATGCGGAGAAGACCTGTATTGTCGCAAATACGGAGTGAAATGCTATCACTGTCGCTGCTTTAGACATCACTCCGCAGTTTGTGGCCTCCCTAAAGAAAGTGAACACATCCCCGAACAACTGCGAACAGCACGAGATGGTTTAGAAAGAAACCGCGAAAGAAGACGCGATACTGAGCGGCAACTACGCGAAGAACGTAATCGTTGAAAACAGAGAGTTTGAAAGGAAAAAGCAAAAAGGAAAAGCGTATGTCCGGATCAGAACGATATCTGGTTCCCAATGAGCACAAAATGTTGCTGATTTTAAAACATTCCTCCGAACAGGAAAAAACATTGAGTGCATTTCCTAAACTTTTTAAGCCTAATGTATGTAAACAACTATGTACAGTTGCAGCTGCACCCAACCTGACGTCCAGGAGGGGATTATGGCGCACCATCGGTAGTATGAAGAAATGCGTTCTCTTAAACGAGGCATCAATGGTCTCAAGGCCATTGATGCCTCGTTTAAGAGAACGCATTTCTTAGGATGACGCCCTAGTGGCTACATTACCGCGTTTTTAGCAGCGCGGTTCACCCATCGGGTTAGCAAGCAGTTGCCTCCCTACATAGGTGTGCATAGAATCTCGTTAGCGGTCGAAGTCAGGCTCCGCTTTGTTGCTGGAGATGCTCACGCAATTGCTAATGCAATTGCCCGCACCGTGAGCAATAGGTGGCGTGCAGAAATGATAAGGCTAAATCTAGCCGTTCAGAATGGACAGCTGTTTTGCGGAACCTGCGGATTAAAGATGGGTATGGCAGTCATTCTGCTTTACATATCGAGCCTTTGGCAGATGCCATCAAAGACTTCAAGGAAAGGATGGAAAATGGACTGTCGACAATAAACCGCCAAAATTGACAGCATCATGCAAGTGGTCCGCGGCGAGCGAGAGGTGGACAGTAATTCACCACCAACTGTCTATTATGCTAAAAACGGACCACCCTGCGGTCGAACTGCATGTTCTGCACCGTGGAGGACAACAAAGATCAACACTTCATCGGACGTTGCTGTAAATATCCCTATGCGATATCGCGGGCTGTGCAGGCGTCAGCCCTGGGGCTCTGCGAAAGATGCCTCCAGCCGCGGCACCATGAAGTCTGTGGAGTAATCTGCCCCATTTGTGGCAAACTCCACAACGTTCTACTATGCTTCAGCAAAGGACAGAATGGGCCATTGAAACGGCGGAAGGTTGGTTCAGATCGTAGAGCCTAATTAACGGCTACTCTACTACTCAAAGTTTCGTAGTTACAGATGTAAGCCAGTCCTAAATCCTGAACCTCGCCACGCGACACCTCAAGTTTCGGTGAGTACTTCCATATATGTCGAAGATTTGGTACATCAGAGACTGATTACAGAATAAAAGAACCAACAGACAGCAAAAAAAACTATCTATTAATTGATGCCATCCACGACATTATGTCGTGATCAGGACACAACCGCTCCTATCAAATCCATATCCCGCAGCGCCCTTTTCAACCAGTCATTGTAGATTCTCGATACACTTCGCTCGCTATCCAACTGACCATTCAAAGCCTCGATTTTTCAAGACTAAAATACTTGTCAAATTGTCCAAAATAATATGGAACAAAAGTGCCCGGCCTTTTTGGCCTTATTCACTTCTCTACGGAGAAAACCGATCTCCCTCTCCAATTCTCCGTAATCCTGTATTTGTAACTAAGAATTATTCTACAATATAGTCATTGAAATCTTTAAATTAATAAAGGCAATGAAGTTCAACACATTTGTAACTACTCACTTGATCTCTTTTGGTGGGTTCAACCGCGATGACGGCAGGCTTTTTTCAAATCGCAAAAAGAATGTTAAAAGAAATCACAAAAAAGATGGGCAACTGAAAAATAGGAGGGAATATGGCTTAAGCAGACGGCTTACGCACCCTTCTATACAGCCAGGATGACATCTCCTTGCGCGAGAACAGACGCGCGTAACGCATATCATTACAAAAATGATATATCAGTCAATCAAATTTCTGTAAGACGTATGCGTCTGCTCTGACGCATCATTTCGAAAGTGGTATCAATTGTCACTATATCATACCATGTTCCCCAGCGGGGGGTAATTTGTTATCGAGATACTAGAATATTTAATTTAGATTCTCTTCAGTTCGTCAAGCCTTCAATCAAACGTCAAGAATTCCACCAACGCATAATTACGCATAATTATCCTCCATTTCTCCATCATCTCGACGTCGCATCCTCCCCTGGGCCCTGCTGACAAGTTTTCTATCCTTTTCTTTTCCTTTCGTTGTCCCTTTCTTCCTCTACTCTATGTTTTTGTAACTAAATTCAACATTTTGTTATCATTTTGGTGTTCCCATACCTAAACTTTTTTCTCTTCCCTCGTTTTCGCATCGTTCTCATGCTCATTGTAAATCCCTCTTTTTTCGCCTGAAAAAAGTTTTTTTTCGTTTGTTTGTGTTTAACTTTTATGGTAATCTTGCTCCTCTAAAAATAGTCTTTTGCGCGGCGGGCAGTGTCGTGGTAAAGACGCGACCCGAACCTAACTCTTTCTCCCAATCTCTTTATGTTACTCATTTCTGCCACGAAGAGCTTGACTTTTTCTTGAACTCAAACCGAATGAACGTGGCGTTGTCCCGAGGTAAAGATGGTCTGTTCATCGTAGAATCACTTTTTTTCAGGAGATTGAGACGTGATCTATAATGCGTTGGTACCGAAGCTAGCGTGGTTAGGAAACTCAAGTTCAAATATCGGTTTTGTCCGTAAGTACAGCCACCAGATAAGGAGAGAGAAGTGCTTGGGGACAATGACCTCAATTTTAGCAGTCGCCTTGTTTCTGTATTCTTGATTATCTTAGGTTCTTGTTATTGGAGCTGTATTGATGTACTTAGAGTAAATGCTTGTATGAGAAAGTATTTTGGGCAATGTTTGGGTAGAATATTCATTGATCAAGTATGGTAGCTTGAAAAATGTCAGCGTCTTAAAAATAATAGCTGATATTAAACTTGGTAAAGCAGAATCAGCAGCTATGAAAAATGCAAAGGAGGTAGTGCACAGACTTCAACTGAGGCGAGAATCAATTCTTAACGTTTAGTCGCACAAAGATCATATTTTGCTGGATGATTTTCATCGAGATTTTTCAAGCTGAAAATCGAATTTATTAGAATTTTGGCTCTGTAATGAAAAGCTCATACAAAACTAATAGCATACTTGAAAAAAGCGCGAACCCCTAATTCTGTATTTTCGTTGAGATTGAGCAGATACTGTTGCTGAATGTCAATTTTATGATTCTATCGAAATCACGGTTTCATAGTTGATGGATGCATAGAAAGCGTCGATGGCTGGGGAGCAGGGCATAGCTGGCACCGGGTCAAGCTGGATATCGTTTTTAGGGCAGAAAGCAAAGGGGATATCGTTTTTCCGGGCCCTGGTACGGAGAAGAGCTGCAAGAATGCCGCCGGAATGCCACCGGCATGTTGTCCATCAGACAAACAAAGGCGTTGTTCTCAGTCAAAACGCAATAGTATGACACCAAATTTGGATGTACATGCGCGTTGGGGGAGCCGAACTATGGCCCAAAAATTTAAGAAAACTTATTTGAATGAGGGCTGTGCTGAACTTTTTTCTGAATTAGCTGGCACCGTGCCAGCTAATTCGGCTGTGAGCAAAGTGTCGGTGCCAGCTCACCTGGTACCCACCTGGTACCCAGCTGGGTACCAGGTGAGCTGGCACCGGCACTTTGCTCACATAAGTTTTCGTACTTTTTGCATAAAATGTATCTACACTGTTAAAGTTTACATATGGAGAAGAAACAATTTTATAATGTTTTCTTTTCAGCGTTTTATAGCCATCTGAAAATTACTCGGTCTGCTCTACAGTCGAAAAATCGGCTTTTTTTGCTTCTCAAGATGTGATTCAACCACTTAAAAAGCTCAGAAGGTTGTGAAAAGTTGTTTCATGGAATCAGTATGCATGAAAATCTACTACATACTTTTACATGATCTAAAAATAATGACGGGTCTTCAAAGCAGTCAAAGGGGACTTCGTACGAAATTTTCAGGATCAAACGGGACTTCATTTTGCAATTTCCCTGGTGCCAGCTCGTGCCGAGCCCTGCTGGGGGGGGGGGGCTTAGAGTATGCACAGACTAGGCTCTGTACATATGCTAATTGGCGTTATTGACAATTTATGTAACAGTTGTCGTTCTGCACAGATTGCATCGGGGATAAAAGCAGGTATCTCCCCGGCTTTGGAGCGGCCTGGGAGATATTTGCTTTCATCGCGACGTTTCTTTGCACTGACACCAGTAGTGTGGTTACTCTCATGAGTGCCGGGAACTACTTCCGAAGGATTGATTGATATACGAGAATCCAATGAATATTGATAACGCACTGTTTTGACTTGTAGTTGTGAGGAAGACAACGACTAGCAGCATGTTTTTGAGGCGGCAAAAATACTCGGAAATTGATGCTTTTTCGATAGAGTAAGAATTACCATGTTCGGGAAGTCTACCGTACAATACACTCGAAGGTTTTGCAAAAAAATTTTTGTGTCAATTTACGCCAGCTAGGTTTATTTGAAGAAGTCCACATGTAATGTGAGCCAATCGCTCTGCTGCCTCCCAATCACGTTCAGGTTCTTCGAAATCTTATACCTTCTGAATGATCAACTCTGACGACTCCATACTAGTGATTGGTCATATAATATTAGGTTGTGTAATAAGTTCTGTCCCATTTTTTCTTTCGATCGTTTCTCAATATTTTGCGCGATGTTCTGCAAATTGTTTACATGCATTTGAAAGCTCTAAGCCATCTCTTCTAAAACCTTCATCTCGGTTTTCTGCATCAGATGACTTGGAGAAGTTTTACAGCGTCAAATTTGGGAAATCGAACGGGGAAAAGTCCATTTTTAACAACTACGTTACGTCGCCCTCCTAATCAGTCAGGATGCCTAGGAATAAGCTCGAAGAATTTGCTACACGTAAGCAAAGAATGCTTAGCTTCTATCGCGCTTCAGAAGTGCTGAAACTTCCCAAAAATCATTTTTGTAGATTTTAGAAAAATCTTCTTTTTAACGCCTTGTGTTGGACATCATCTGAAGGCATCCTGAGGGAAGACGGTAGGTGGATTAGAAAAGACAGAAGGGATGGTTTGTGGCTTCAAAATTATCGAACTCATAGGTTGAACACTCAAAATTCGAATTTCGGGAGCTACACAGTTTGAGTACCCGAGACGGCGAACATCGCCGTGACAAAGTCTTGCCTTGCCGACTTTTGAAAAAATGTCATTAAATAGCCGGCGGAGAGAAGGGAACATGCGCAAACAGTGATAGAATAAGTGTAAAAGTCTAGTAGATTGTTTTGGTTGTTGTCAAGCTTGTTTAATAAGTTTTACCAGTAAAAATCGAGTAAAATTTGAAGGGAAAAAATGTCGAAAATTGATTTTTCGGCTCTTCGGATTTTTTGTCTCAATGATAGAAATCTTCTTCAATCTCCTGCTATGTTAGGGAATGATGCATATGAGCTGCACAGCAGACTTAGAGCCTTCAAAAGCATATACACTTTATCTTGAATATAGTCAATGTTGTCAAGAAAAAAATTAAAACAAAAAATGGGACAGAACTTATTACACGACGCAATACTTTGAGCCTATGATCACAGCTAAGCCAATATATGAATAATTTTGCATTGTGATTTGGTGACCGACATGACCGCACGTTGGAATTAGCCGCTTTTTATGAGTGTTGATGAGGAAAGTATGAACTTTCAGGAGTTTGGTTGAAAGTAGTGGTCTGAACACTACAACCTTCAACACTTCCACATGATAGCGGAGACTTGATTTTGCGTAACAGCATGGTAGAGCTTTTGAGTACTATTCTATAAACAGAACGGGAATGCGCTGCTGTCAAGTTATTTTTGAAGAAATTTCAAAGACTGAATCTGACACCTTACCCAAGGCATACCTCACGCGATTTCAGTCGCCAAATTGCCAGATTGCTCGGCGACTGTCTTCAAATTCAATAGTGTTAGACCTCAATAGCACAGCACGTATAACCTTCGTTGGTTGATAAAATGTCCTACATTCCGTACATTCAGAAACCCCTTATGAAGAGTTATGACCAATTGGAATACTGCCAAATCGCGTTGCAACTGAAACGCGTGAGGATGTTTTCGGCCTAAGACTGGGAGACACTTTGTTCTCGCTAGCCTTCTTGGATTTTCATATATTGGTGTTATTGAACGCCTGGGAGGGGGGGGGGGGGAGGGAGGGCGGAGATGGCGGTGAAGCGATATTCATTGGTATGAAGAGCCGCATGTCACAGGGGAACAAGGCTCGTTTCGGCCCAGGGCAAACCCAGACATCTGTTCTGTGGAGACGGTAAATCGGCACGACAGCAAACTGGACGAATTGAAGCACTAGCCTCCCCAAGCGAATGACCGCCAAAGTGACGGTGAAGAACATTGAGTTCTTTCTTCGACTATGAAATAGAAAGTGTTCTTTGCATGCCCGTGGAGGGCACTAGAGACCGAATTTCTCGTACTTCACGTTTTGAGAAGATTTCACAAATTAACCAAAACCCAACACGATTCCAAAGAATTCAGTTTCAGAACCTTTATTTCAGTCGACCTTTTCATGCACGTGTCTATCGCTAGATAACAAAAATTGCAGAGGATACTTTCTTGCGCCGAAAATCGTCTATGATGTCATACTCGCTCAAATCTTGTTGATAAATTGATATATCTTTCTATGTAGGTTCGTCGAGTATGTGTTTTCTTCTGTAAACAAACCATTCAATCATCACTTTATCGCAACACAATTCATTAAAAATTGTAACAAGTCGCTGAAGCGACATTAGGAGAAATTAGAAAACTCTTATCATGCACTACAAGAGAGAAATTCAGAGACTTTGATAATTTACAAGATGAGAGAAGACAGAGTGGAAAGAAAACAAGAACAACGTATGTGCAGATCACATTTGTGTGTTGAAAATCGGGCAAATTCGAATCATATCTTTAGTCTAGCGTTTTTTGACAGTCAATTTGGGGAGAAATTCGTCGTAGTACAAGGTAATACTGCTAAAATGATACAAATCACAAAATGGGAAAGATTCGTGCAGGGAGTCAAAGTCACAGTAGAAATATTTATGAGAAAAATATAAATTTGCTGCTCGCGAAAATGCTGCCAATCATTTTTGCCCCAAAAAGAATTCTGGCGCGGCAAAAATATAAAGCATATTGTAAATTTTGTCATTTTTGTTTACTCCCCAACCTAAATTTTGTTGTTTACAGACAAAGTTTGAGAAAACAGAATTAGCAGAACCTATAATGCGTTTCTCTCACCGGATTAATTGGCCACAACGCGCTAATTTTTGACAAGCTAAAAAATCCAAACCCCTTCGAAATTGCAAAGAAAAAATAGAAGAACAAAACATGCTATAAAATGCCTTATTTGACATTGCAAACATATACATATCACAAAATTGATGAGAACAAAATTATGTGGAACAGCCTCGACATGCTGAAACGTAGAATAAAACCCGCATGGAACAGAGTCGCCAGCGAAGGCGCGCGCGAACTTGGGCGAGCGATCGATCAATATGCACAGATTGCATGTGCGCTCCACATGCCCCGCCCAAGTCGCCCCTTCTAGACCAGTATTTGAAGTATTACTCTTTTACTAATAGGAGCAACCCTGTCCCTCGATGTCTACGGTATCGTTGCCATTCTTCATAGCGGCGGTTATGCGTCGTCAACCCCATCGGAGGAATGATGACGGTAGATAGGAGGAGATACGCGCCGACAACGATGATGTCGACGTCGTCGACGGTGATGACGGCGCCGACCCGTTCGGAGTAGCAACGGCGGGTTTTTGCGAGGCTGCTCCGGCGCACCGTCAACTGGAGTCCGAGTTTTTCTGTTCACCTAAAAAAATCAAATTTTTATCACACATATGCATTCCTTTTGGGCTACAAAGTGCTTTGCAAAAAAGTTTCTGCAGTCGCGACCGCACGCATACGCAGCGCGCCCCTCCACTGCCTTTGAGGCGCTGTGAAGGCAGTTAAAGCACGTTGCATGGCGCTTGATCGCCATAGGAACTTACTCGGAGGACGGAATTGAGACCACTGCGCACACGCAACGCGCACCTTTTCTGAGCCTTTGAGGCGTCCCGAGTGAATTTAATCTATAAAACAAGTTTTGAAGAATGCTTCGGAGACAACACGAAAAAGAGTTGCACGTGTGCGCAGAATCTCACCACAGAAATTTGTTCTAGGGTCAACAAGTTCTAGTCCCAAACAAAAAAGTAGATGGGTTTTGCGAAGCGGATGCGAACGCGGCGATACAGACCTATCATCACCGGAGCGCATGAGAGACACTTGGTCGACAAACAGCGCGCCGCGCATGCGTACGCTTCGCTTATATGGACACCCACCTTCGTTTGGATTAGGGTACAGATGAACTGGGAATTGGAGTTTTCTCATATAGGACCGCGCGCATGCGCAACGCGTGCCCTTCTGCTGCCTTTGAGTCGCACTTAGCGCAGCGAGGTGCGTTGCGTGTACGCGAGCCTTCACGGTTACTCGCCGTGGTGAAAATAGATAGATGCGGATAAATTAGTACAAACTCTACCTATTTCAAGAATTTCTGGATGTCGTTCAATGACTCGCATCAAAATGCCGTTGATATATACCCGCAATTTTTGATTGCATACTTCCTGTTCGCGAAGGGCTTCGAGAATCTGAACTTGGGTAACTGAACACCGATCAAAATTGTAAACAAATAATGCTCTCACCTGTTGAGTGTCACTGCCTCCGCTCATGAGTTCATCGGCCAGTGAGGGTTCGTCGGCTAGGAGACTTCGTCCTCGCTCGACACTGGCCGCCAGCAGTTGAGCTTGCAAGTCATCGCGTTCGCGTTGCAAATCGCGAATATCGGCACGAGCCTGCTCCAGAGATTCTTCCAGGTCGCTCATCTAAAGAGTGGAGGGTTAAAAAAACTCAAATCTGAGAAAATTGAGCTAATTCCAACAGAAGTGGAGCAGGAAGGAGGGGGGGGGGGGCGGTTGGTAGAGTGCGAGAAACAAAGCAATTTCCAATCTTATCAACAAAAGCACTATATACACTGCTTTACATTATTTGCTCTATTTCTACAAAAAGCGTGAAAAAATGAGTTTTGACGTAAATCCTGCTTTTTCGTAACCCAGCCAGTGTTTTGCTTGCGAAATGCTTTAGTTTTGCCCAGTAAACTATCAGCTGAATAAACACACAACGAAGCTTACGTCATTCCACATCTTACGTCAGAACTCTTTTATGACACATACTATGAACGATGGTTGAAGAAGTGCCACGTATACTCTCCATCAAACGTCCTTCAGTAATACAGTAAAAAATGCAAAAAATAGGCGTAATTGAACAAGCATGACGTAAAATCTGCAGTTTTATGCTACTTAATCGCCTAGCGAAGCTTTCTATAACAGTATTTTTCATCCCTTTCAATTTTTTCTCCTCCATTGTAAAAGATGAAGGCGTAGAAGTGAAATTTCTAATTATAATGATTACCGAATGTGAATACTGTGAATACCGAATATGTGCAACTGCACACGACACACACACATAGCGCAACAATTCCTGTAAGTCTGTGACTCTTTTGCACGGAAAGTTTACTGGATGTTTTTCTCAAAGCGAGAAGAACATAAGCAAGAACAGACCTTCAAAAAGGCATGGATTTTGAAAGAAAAAACCAGAGGGATGCGCGCAATGTGACAATGCGTGCAGTCACACAAATTATGGGCAACGAAAAACTGTAATAGAAATGGAAATATTCCTAAACTTTCTCAATTTCTCTCCTTTTACCTCTTAATTTAATCAAAATTACAATTTTTCTTGGCCCCGTTTCCCTTCCTTCCAGTGGCGGGACGAGAAGGAAGGAACGAGAATTTGTCAAAATTATTTGGAATGACTTACGTGGTTAGTAATATGTGTTTGTTTTCTCAACTTTTGAATAACTAGAAAATTTTCAAAATTTTTTAGGGACTTAAATGAGTTTCAAATCTTTTCTTGAGCGTCATTTCTTCGGAAGCCGTTGCTAACATCATGTTCTTTTATTAAATAAAGAATTCTCGCTTTCGAAAAATTCTCAAAATGCCATTGCCTCCTTCCTCCCATTTCCTCTGACTTGTGTTAGGATTCTACTCCCCTCCCCCTATGGAAGATTCCAAAATGTAAAAAATCGTGAGAAACTAGCCCACCTGCTCGACAATGGATCCTTGTCGCGGAGGTCCATTTCGTCGTAGTTCTTCTGTTTGTTCTTTGAGCACCTCAACCATCTCGGAACTGCTGTCGATGTCCTGTTGAGCTTCTTCTTTGAATCGTTTGAACTGTCTTTCCAGTTTGATTCGTTCTTCTTCCAGGTCTTCGACCAGCAATTTGCTTTCGGTAAGTTGTCCTCGCAAATCTTCTACGGTTGCTTGCATTTTTTGCGTTTCTTCTCGCGCTTTGTCAGCTTCTTTCTTAGCAGTTTGTAGATCTTTTTCAATCATCTGAAAAATATATTTTAAACTTCGCAAATAAAAAAATTACACTGAAATAATTACCTGATATTTCAGAGAAAGACTTTCTGTTTCCAACTGTTTTTCTCTTTCCATTCGTTGTAAAAGTTCTCGTGTTCGATTTTTCTCCTCTTGCAGCTGTTCTCGATACCTGCAAACAACCCATTTGACCCAACAAAAAGAAGAATGTGTGCATATGCAGACAACATAAAAAACTACCGTACCTCTGCTCGGCAACCAACATCTGTTCTTCTAGAACATGAACTCGTTCTGTAAGCACAGCATTTTCCGTTCGTAAACGTCCTCGTTCATCATTGCTATGCAATTGTTGTTCTTCCATTTCGGATAATTTTTTCGAGATCATTGTCACCTGGAAGGGGGGAAATAAATATTTGGAATTATGATTGGAATAGCACAAAAATGCGGGAGAAAATGGTAATATTTTGAGTAAAAAATCCCATAGCATGCCCTCATTTCTAGCAATCACTCAATCACTTACCAAATCACATATTTTTCCTTATTTTCACTCATTTCTCGCTCACTTTTTCTACATTTTATCTCTTTTTTAGTCATTCATCCGAAGCAAAAATGAAAAAGAGAAATAGAAAAATTAGGAAATGAAAGGCATAAAACACGTGAAACGTTTTGATGATAAGCTGATAGTCACACAGTGACTGCGCTGCACATGAAATGGCGCAAGGAATCGATACATGTGGGTTAATTTATCAACAAACCATTGGAAAGAGATCGAGAATGAAGTTGCAAAATAACAGAGAATTTATTTAGTTTGGAAAATACGATAGTGGGCAGGGGACAGGGATAAGATCCAAATTATATTGTTTTTGGAAATGAGATGTCAAAGAAAGTCCAGCTATGAAAAAAAGGGTAGAACAATGCGCAGAATTGAAAAAAAATGGACTTCCACCCGATAAAAAGGTCAATGAACTTCCAAAGTTAGCGTCATTATTTTTCAATATAAATTCGAAAACTGTGAACCAAAAAATGTCGAATAAATGAATAAAAGTTTAATAAATAAACGAAAGTTTCAAATATATATAATTGATGTAAATATTGAAAAAAACTGACAATGATGTTGTACCTTTCAAAAAAATTATTCACTTCCAAAATGAAAACATGAGCGCATTTACGATTGCTTATAAAATTGGTTTCTAAAAATTTTTGAAATTCTGTCAATGGAAAAATCGTAGGAATGAGTGCCACAGTTCCCAAATAAACTTCAAAACAACTTCTCAATGAATTCAAAAATGAAATCGATCACTGCAGCGGTGAGGGAGGTTTGCAGTCCAGATAAAATCTGGGCAACATCCCCCATTGGATGCAAAGTGAAAAATATACATGCAGAGGGGGGGGGGGGGGTTGCTGGTTCTGTCACAGAAGCGACGAACCGATTGCTAGACGACTTAAATGCACTTCTGAGGAGAGGGGAAAGCCTTCTGTCCCAGAAGCAGATAAATTTGGGAAGTGGTATGGGGAGGTTCTATCCCAGAAGAAGCGGACAAACCACATGCTATGGACGAACTGTATGAATATCTGTTGGAAGAATGAGAGAACGAAAGATCGATAAGCCGGGAGTCGTGTTTCTTCGATGTTTTAGTGCTGCTAGAAAACCACCCTAATACGACCTGTTCGGCACAGACGGGACGACAAAGCGCAAACAGCCCAACGAGTTCGGCAAGGTGGTTGGGGAGTGGGGAGTGTTTAGTCGACAATAATCCTTACAGTTCTCTTCGTTCCGAATGAAACGAGGTCGCAAATCGATTCGAAATGGTTCGAATGGTTCCGTATAGCTCTATTGCTTCGCTATTTGCAAAAAATGAAACTGTGTTGAAACGGTGCCGATAGACCTAGTTGAATGTGAGAAAACCCCGTAATTCACAGGATCATTGGAACGTTTTAGCTCTGTCTGTGGAAGAAAGTTCTGGAAGTTATTTGCAGAAAACCGACGGATGTTGGATCAGCTCTGCATAAAAGTTTGCATGATCATGGCTGTGTAAAGCATATTTTTAGCCTCGAAAAATATAGGGTTGCGAAACACATGGAAATCATTGGAGAAAAACAAAAATAAAATTCAGATTTATGATGATAATAACAGCCAAAATAATGGAACTTGAAATAATTTGTCAATATAGAGGATTGAGGATTTTTTATCGAACTTATCTTTTGAATTCTGAAGATTTTTTCTCGATTTCATGATGTTTCCTATCGCGACATATTTAAGAATTTTATTTTGCTGTAAAGAATTAACAATGTAAGTCTTGTGATCTACTTTCTTTAATCGAAAAATCTGCGCGGATCGATCGTTTCTACAATTTTTGAAACTGAACAGAAATGGCAAACAAAAAATAGATTTTTTTGTTATCTAAAAAATCAGATACGTTCTTGGAGCAGAGGTTCAAACACCAAAACTTTTTTTGTAAGAAGGGGTAAGTCACGAGATTTATATGACTAGCAGTTGCGATTTTATTGCTGCGAATTAGATTTTAGCCGATCTAACTTCAGAACTTGAGCGATCTGTCTTTTTAATACATCAAACGACAACTAAATATAAACTACGGATCAAAAAAAAATCACTTCAAATTATTCCGACCAGCTCATTTCATCATTCATTCAGTCCTTCTTTCACACATTTACTCCCAAAAATTCATTTTTTCGATTTTCGTAGAAACGCAGTGTTCTGATTTTGTTTCTTCTAACAAGTGTGAATTCATTTGTCTAGTTTCAGACGAAGGCAGATGTCTACATAAGCTAAGCGCACGCGAGAACTGAGCGCGGAGGCATGCTGGACGAGTTTGTGCAGCCCGTGCGCCGACTATAGAGTGCTCTACTGGCGCGTTCGCGTCCGCTTTGCATGCTGAATCATGCGCCTTCGTCTGGGATTAAATTATACTTACTGCGCATTCTGCCACCTATTGGAGAAAGCATTCCTTCCCCTTCCCCCCGTAAATCTTTTGTTGCTTATCACCTCACCTGATTAGTGATATCATGCATATCCGAATCGGAAAACGAGATAAGTTCTGGATCGGAGCCAAGTGAGTCTCGTCGTGAACGCGTACCGTAGAGGCGACTGGCCACCGATGCGCTGCTAGCCGATGAGCCGTGCAAGCGCATAGGAGAGTCCTGCAACATTGGTTATTTAGATTTACAAAATAAACAATTTCGTAAAATGAAATCGCAAAGGATGAAAAAGTAGAGAATAGATGGATTTCCAGAGATTTTCTGGGTTTTTCGCAACAAACTCCAAAAATTTGCTTACGACTACTGGAAATGTGTAGCATACATAATCTGTGTAGTTACACAAATTACCAGATTAACAAAATTCCGACGCACAACTTGTTTTACTGCGATGACTAATTCCCGATAATCCACTAACGAGTACTGATAATCCCATACCCACCGCACTCTGGATCGATCTTTAATTGCTTAGAGGATTTAGTGGACAAAACGCTTTTTTCACCCAGTCTGTGCGATTACACACACTGCACACATTGCGCCGTCTCATTCTGGATTTCGCAGAAGAGTATGGCCTTTCATTCTAGGTAAAGGTAATGCTTCTTTCCTCTTTTCTTCTCGGATTTCAGGAAAAATATTTGAAAAATATTTTTTAAAACATGTGCGCAGAACATCTTGACGAAAATCAGAAGAGATGCATTGCGTGCAATGTGTGTAGTTACACATATGTTGAGAAATTAGCGGTACTGCACAGAAAAATAAGAAAATATAATCGGAACACAAAAAATAGCATGCAAGTTATAGAGATCAAATAAAGCCAGATTAATCTTCTTCCCATTTCAAAAATTATAGAATTCCCGGATAAAATTTTTAGGAGAGAAATATTGTAAAAAAAGCTTGGATGTTTTGGAAAAAGAAGTAGTAGTTTTTGCTCACAAAAAATAATTCTTTGAAGCATTAACGGTCAGATCTCTGAATAATAAATAAGTTTGACTTCGACAGTGACTTCGCGAATGATCCATATTTCATGAATTAATTTTTCCTATAAAAGCGATAACATGCTGATTTGCACTAAATGTTTGTCAAGAAAATGAAATGAATAAAGAAGCAGCACATTCTGCAAAAGTTGACTGAATCCATTTCATATGTAATGAAAGCATTCAAAAGCTAAATGTTTCCATTTTTGGCATGAAAATTTATTCCAGAATAAATTGTCACACACAACCACATCGCCAATCAATTTCAGCCATTGAAATTTGATCAACAACGAGTTCAAAGAAAGTCTATGTAAATGAATGAAAGCTCTGAAACATCTCTTGCAATCAATTTTCAGACAAAAGGTAGAAAAGTGAGATTACGACGATTTCGTGAAATTAGAAATGGATTAGTGGGAAACTGACACAATAGTGTGACAATTGGAAAAACTCTGATTTAGGTCAATACGGTCACGACAAGATGGCTGGTTTGAGGCGTTTAAAAGGAAAAACCATCTGCAAAGAAAATATGGAAAAAGTAAAAGGGGTCAGACTCTTAGGATTGAATAGCTCTTCCAGTCATAATATTTCAGAAAAAAATTTGGGACATCAATTTTGCGTAAGCACAGAATATGGATGCTGGAAAAATATAATAGATCAAAATTTAGCTCATGATCGTTTCCTTTAAGAGGCAGTGGAAAAGGAAAGTGAACATTTTGATAATTTTTTCCATATTAATAACACATACCATGAAAATTTCTCGTAAATTTCATAATAAAAATTTGCATTATCAAATTCTGAATTCGCAAAGTCTTCCACAAAAATTCACAATTGATTAAATTAAAATTTATTGATTTAGAAATATTTCCTGGTTAATGATGCATTTGAAGTTTCTTTGTTTTTTCTTTCCTTTCTCGAGCACTTTCACTGTATTTTAAAAAATAAAACACAAAAATAATTCTCTGTTTCATTTCGGCTTGCTTTCTTCCCCCGCTTTGATTTATTTCACCATGTCAGTGCAAAGCTTTGAAAAACTAAATAACCGATAAACTCCACAAATAATTGATGCGCGGACTAATGCGTTACGCGATTCCTTGACCACATCCGTAATTGCAGAATGTAGAGACGACGAAAAAAAATGAGAGCAATGAACAAAGACCAAACGACGTAAAACTGGAAACGCCCTTTGTTTCGAAGTTTTTTTTAAGCGTCTTTACATTTCAATACAGCGCACGCTAATCAGCCAAAAATCAAAGTGATAAATCATAAATTTTTCAAGGAAAAAATTGAAATTACTGTAATATTGCACTTACACTGTAGAAATGAAACTGACGTAATTGCATTGGTGTAGGTGGTTTAGGAAATGCTAGGTAAGGAGAAGCCATAGTTTCGAGAATATTCGGAGGAAGAGAGGGGTATCAGGTAGCTACATCACGTTGAACGTGATGTTTTCACCAAAAATGGCACAGTTCGGGGCTCTAACGGGGGTAGGGGGCGGATTTGATCAGCTGTCGCGATGGGGACTTTTCTGCGTTGCCAACAGAACTTTGCCCTATCATAAATATTCAATAGAAATTGATAATATTCCAAAAGTATAGCATATGCGACGCAACTGGGTAGAGAAACGACATGAGCCATAGGCTCCACCTCCGCGGACTACTGCTCCTTTTTCAAATGCTATCACATACCATGTAAGGAGCAGTAATTCGCGCGAATGGGCGAAAGGGCGGAAGTCGTTATTCTACAGCACGGAAATCACCGATTAAGTGCAAAACCTACATTTTTCGATTTTCGTTCGAATTTTGGCGATTTGCTTGCCCATAGCAGACGCATACGAAGATTCATGGACCATGCGCTTACCGAGGAGGGGGGCAAAAAATGACTTCAGCGAGTTTTAAATAGCTCTACTGCTCTGGCGTCATAACTCAGGCGCTATCAGCGTCGACGCAATCCGAGAATTTGTTATCGCACTTGATTTATGGCAAGCTTAAAGTGTTCAACCTTACATTTCCTACACTGAGCAAAATTACCTGGGCTGCAAAATATATAAATAGCCCTCGTAAAACAGCAAATTCCTAAGCAACATCATATTTATTTAGCTGCCTTATTAATGCTGTTTTTAATGGGTTGGAATAAGTTCTCCAAAAATTTGATGGAACGTAATTCCCTCCAAAGTCAATGATTCCGTCTGATCTAAGATAAGTTATAAAAAAAGAATTATGCGCTTCTCACTAGCGCTCACATAGCAAAAATCTGTTGGCGCGTTGCCAGCTCATAAAAAACATCAAACTATTTTTTTTCAAAATTTCGGTCCCTAAAGACGCTAAAAGATCCAAGAACTTCTATTTTTGGTCTTTTTGGCTTCATGAATTTTTTCGCCAACTTTCGTAGTTTCGTGCACATAGCAAGACTCTACGAAAAGTGCAATATTTGATTTCTCTCGATTTTTCTAAATTTTGATCAAAATAGGATTTCCGTTCAATAATAAGCTGGAAAAATTTCTGAAATTAAACTGCTTCAAGCGTATGAATTTTCTAAATTTTTTGATGCAAGTTTTACTTGAGTTTCTACTTAATAATGCTTTTGTTTAAAAGAAAATAAATAATCCATGACAACCAATTATGCAAGTTGCGAATTGGCACTTGTTTTGGGCGTAGAAAGATGTTGAAATGTGATAGTTTTCAGATTTTTCAGTCAAATAAACAAATGAAAGTAACCAATTTTCAAATCGTAGTAAACACTTTTTTGCATAATCCACTCCGATCATATTTCGGACAACGGAAAAAAAAACAAAACCTAATCGTAGTTTATATTACGAACCGGTCTTGTTAGAGCAATTTCGAAAAAAGTAGGTTTTGCACTGTTCAAAACAAGGAAGAAGTTCTTCTAGTTGGCACAAAGCAACCACGATTGCGAAAAAAATATAATTTGGTAGGGAAATTAGGGCATATTTGGGGAAGGGAGATGTGTAGCTCATGAGAAGTTTTGTGGAAGTAGATGGTTGATAAATAGCAAGTATACATCAGGTGACTGCTGTATTATAGGGTCTTTTCTCGACAAAATCAGCTTAACTGGTTGAAGTGTTCAGTTTTTCATGGACTTTTGATATAGGAATGATTTTTGAAAATGGAAAAAATTGTGATTTTTATTATAATGAAAACAGAAATTGCTATTGACGTCTTAATTTCATTGATTTTTTCAAAATTAGCTGTGTCATTGAAAAGAAAAAAGAGAGTGACTGTGGACTTGGCGAATAGCCAGCAGTCACTGTTAGAAAGCAGACTTGCTCTAAAAACTGAATCGCAGAAACTCCAAGAAAAATATCAGAAGCTGAAAGAGGAACTGTAGGGTTACTGTAAGGCTACGGTAATGAACTAAAAAAGGCACCTGCAACAATTTTTGCAAAGTTCGAAACTGAATTTAGGTCTAGGACTACCGGCCTTTTTGGTTCTGTCCCCCAACATTCTAATGTACGTGATTACAGAATTTAAAATCATGTAACAACAAGCCAAGTACTTGCCCCCAACCCATCATGCTCCGTTTAACCGAAGAACTCCACCCTTGACCGGTTCAAATGGGAACCGGGCAATACGGATCGAAAAGGCGTTGCTAATGTTCAAGTGTGGTCACGAGAGCGACAGCAAATTCTTCCTTTACGGTCAAAAACAACTAGCACGCAAATATTTGCGAATTTGATTTATATCGCAAAATTGTCCAAATATTGAGGTAAAAATTGGTTGGTAGAATATTCGAGAAAATGTGCTGAAATATTGGGCGAAGTTACTTATTTTTGAGGCGAACTTCCTTAGCAACAAGTTTTGCGCCTGCATTAAACCGGTCTTAGACTTCGTTACCATGGAGAGAAAATTCTAGAATCGATATAAATGGAAACTGTTGATGTCTACGAAATGAGAAAAACTATTGGAAAAACTTGAGAATCTAGAAATCGCAGTGTTTACAGCGAATTTGAAGATGGATGGGAAAAAGGAAAAAAATGAGAGAAAACATGGAAGGATTACGTCAGAAGATTACGGTAGTTTTTGACAGTGATTACGTCACTGATTAGACGTGATTACGTACGGTGCGTAAAAGCTACTAAATTTATGGAATACTGTAACGGGAAGAGGGGGAGGGGTAAGACTTACAGTACCCCGAAACACATTGATAAGCGAAAAGAATGCTAGAAAGTCTACGTGGCAGAAACTCTTTCGCCCTACCCTCACCCCCCCCCCCCCGCTCTACCTCTCGCCCCATTCTCTGGGAATTTGCGCTAATTTGCCCATTTAAATGCAAATTTTGAACGTCTGAGAACTGCTGGATGCCCCAAGATGGCCTTGAGAGCAAATGGAATTCCTATTGCTATAAGAGGAAACGTAGAATAGAGCTCGTACGGCTGCAGCGAAGGGGAAATAACAGCTTAAACTCTTTCTTTATACTAGCAAAATATCGACATTGGTTGCTAGGATACCTCAGCCCCGGCCTTATTTTCGAGGCGGGGCCCCGTACACGACGTCCGGCTTGGCGAGGGGACGTCATAAGAATCACGTTAATCAAACATATTTACTTATACGTACCTCATACAACGTCGAGGAACACGCAGGGGAGACCATTAGAGTGCAGTTAGATGTGCAGGTAAGGGGAGTACTGTAGTAGCAAAAGAGAGTAAGTGTCACCTTACCGCCTTACGCGAAAACCGGTATCGGTGCCAGTTAGGTTAGGAACGTTGTGACAGTGCTGAGACGGTAGAGAAATGCGCTGAATAGCTGTATGAAAGGGGAGGAGACCCGATGACGACGGGGGGGGGGGGGGATGTGGAAATACGGGGGAAACGCGGGGCTAAGAATAGCGGCATCCTCAAGCCCCGAAGCACATGTACGTACGGGGACACACATAGCCGCTTTTGTCACTTGTATTGACACAGGCCAGAAATGGAAGCGATCAGCAACAGCTAGAGCTTCGCCCCGTATAAAAAACGGGGGGACAAGACGGGGCTAATGGAATAAGGGCGGGTGGGGAGAAATGGGGGTTGAGAAGATGGGATTAGGATGGCGCTGTACTGTCGAGGCTGCGAATGTAAAAAAGGAAAATGAAAGAAAAGAGACAGAGCAGAATAGCCAGAAGAAATCAATAAATCAATGATTGAGAAATTGAAAAATCACCAATACCACTTCCCAAAGCTAAACTTCGCCTTTTCTACAAAATAAAGCAATTTTTTTCAGCATGAAAGTGGCCAAGTCCTGTCTCGACCCGCTATGAAAAAGTATTGAATGACATTTTTTTCTAATATAAAAATTCTTTTCAAGTTGCTCAGCGGGAGTGACGCATGTGACTCCGGGTGAACTTTTTTCCTATTTCGTTCCAGTCACGCTCAGCATCAGGTGATTTCAGTATAAAAAAGGAGTTTGAGGTTTATTACGACTAGAAATGAAATGCTGAACTAGTGAAAAAGAAAAAAAAGAGAATTGTTTGGGGAGAAGGAGAAGGGTGAAGCATTTTCTTTTGACGATATTGCATGATTGAAAAGATATTTCGAAAAAAACTTTCTAAAGGAAAAATATTGCCAATTGAACCAGAGTTTTTTTCAACAATTACTGAACAGACTTAGTAGTTAATAGGAGAATGTTCCATAAATGGAGAAAGAAGAAATTAGTTGAAATCGTCGAAAGTCGTTTTCATAATTGCTTTATACGGATGAGAACTCTTCAGATAATTACAGTTTCACAATTTTAAGTAGTGGATTTGCCCCGAAAATTTTTACTGAAGGGGAATATTCCTAAACTTTAGAGTTCTGCAATTTGTAGTAAATCTTCTAAAAAAATTATTTCACTAAAGGGGAAATTTTTCAAATTTCACAGTTTAACAATTATGAAGAGTAAAAGTCCTGCCTCGAGAACTATTTTGACGAATAAATCATTCCGATCACAAATTTGCATTTTTAGTAAAGTGAATCTTCCCCAAATAATAATTTAACAAATTAGCGATTTTTCAAAATTTCACCATTTACATCCCTTGTAACAGTCTGCTCCAAAAATAATTTTGCGAAAGGAAATTGTTTTAAAATTTACGTTTTGTTTTCATTTAGTGAATCCAAACTGAATAAATAGAATTTTTCCAAATTTTACAGTTTCACAATTTTGATGTAGTAAATCTGCCCACACATTAGTTTTAGAGATGAAATTCAATTTTTGAAGCTGGATGAAAATTTTATAAATTTAAAAAAATTACTACTGGAATGATGTAAGATGTGAGTCAGAGTATGTTCTAGGGCTTTCAAAGGCAGGAACACTGAACGTAGAAAAATCCCCGGGTCACTTGACCTACCAATCGATACCCCGTGCTGAAACAGCCAGAAGACCCTGTGGAAGAACCCGCTAAATACACAAAAGAAGAAACCGGCAAGGCTGTGAATGAGTCAGAGTCGAGACCGAGAAAAGCGCGATCAGTGAAAGCTCGGTGCGCCCACCTGTTCGGTGTGATTCAGCTCAGGAACACTTCCAGACTGCTCGATTTTGTTCTTATCCGAGTTGTCCTCGGTACTGATAGGCGGTGCCAAAGGGTCGTTCTTAGCCGTGATCGCGGTGAATATGTGAATTTCACAATTCTCAAACTTTTATAGCTAGGCGAAGAAGGCGAAGAGGTGCCGGCGCCGAGAAACCACAACAAACGCGGCGATTCGTCATGCTCTTGACGATCATAAAAGTCAAAGAAAGCAACAAAAAAAGACAATATACACTTGTTTGAGCACTTTGTGACGTATTTTATGGCTATTGATCGATTTCGCAATTTAGAGAAGGGACGTGTGTCAGTGTAATGTAAAAACGTTGACACATTAATTCCATGTAGTTCTTTGAAAGAATTTTGATGTCGCGTTCGCTGATAAAACTGTCTTGTGATGCGAAGAAAATGTATGGGGCATTGAAAGGCGGGGGGGGGGGGGGAGAAAGAGATCCATTGAAGTAGAAAGGAAATGGGCAATAAAAGTATAATAATACAGAAACGTTCTTTGAAGTTTGTGAAATATAGAGGCATCAATGGGATTTTTTTTCAGAATTTTTACTAGTCTGCGGGCTCAAACAAAAGTTCAAACCTTCTTATTTCCAGTGTTAGCTTGTCATCTATCAGATTTTTCATTTCGACTACTTTTTTAATTTCGTTACAAAATTTTCAAGGCTCATTTTTGAATTTGGAGCCAAACTGAATTCTCTCACTAACCCTATAACATCGAAAAAATTTTATTTTTTATCCAAGATTCGTGCAAGAAGTCTAAAACCGTGTAAGAGTGTAAGTTCCTGGAGGAAACGTCACTCCTCAAACGATAAGATAATTACTACTCCATCATTAGATTAGACGAGACCCTTCCACATTTTTCTTGGATGAAAAAAGAAAAGAAAAGGATAGAAGAATGCGATTGGCTTTTGAGAGTTAGAAAATCTGCCTGAATATTGTTTCTATTCTATGCACTCACATGGAAAACTCTAGGCTCGGCAAAACATCGACATACATATCATTTTGGGATTGTGAAAAAGCTCCCCAATTTTTAAGTCATAGCGAAATTTTCTAATCCAAATGATAGATGTAGGAAAAATTTCCTCAGCACGAAACTGTTAGTCAATATTAAATCTGAAAATATTGAAAATCAAAGCAGAAAATTCATTGTAGATGCTGTACAGAGAATTTCTGGAATATTTCTTGGTATAACTAAGCTAAGCAACCTAAGACCCATTTTTTTATGATATGGATTTTTTAAAGTTATGAGAGGGATTTTTATCAATTTATTGAGAAAATGAAATAGATTTAGATTGGAAGAACGGTGTATTTAGTCTGTCAAGCTGAGATTCAAAAAAGGTCAGATTTTCAAAAGGTCATTGTTGGGAATGGAATGACGAAAATGAGCCAGCTTAGGATACAAAAAGACTTCCTTTCAGATTATTTCAGTCACAATAAAAAATGATACGACTTTATAGAATCGAGCCATTAGAAAAAAGCTATTAACACACAATTCGAGATAACCCATAGATAACTCATTTTTAGAGCTGTCCACCCACCTACTTACGAAACTCGAGACCTGACAAAATAGCGCGAAATTAATCATCGCTCGAAAAGTGCAAGTCCCAGGTGCTTTCAATAATTAATATCTAGCGGCTAAGGCTGATTCACACTTCTTCAAATGATATTCGATCCGAATAACAAAGTCAGCGAATAAACATACTTCGCTATTGTTTATAGTAGAGCAATGGTGTCTGTCTCGTCGCTAAGGAAGCGTTGAGCTCTTTATTGTTTTTGCAGATTCGTTAAGGTGTTGGAAAAGGAGGAATGGAAGGGAAAGAAGGGAAGGGAGGGCCGGGGGGGGGATAAAAAATAAATATATAAGGCAAGCAATCTTCTTGACGTTTTTCAAGACTCTAACAAATTTTTCAAAATAAAACAAGCTCAGTTTATTTTCAAAATTCAATTTGATTTCGCTGAGCTGCATTTCACATTTCTTCTCAAACCACAAATTCTATAACTCTTTCTAATATGAGTTGTCAATAGTACTATCATGGCAGTAAAACCAACGAAAAAATTAATGATAATAAATATAAAAATTCAATAGATTGATAAGTGATATAAATAAAAAAAAATAATTCATAGTAGTTCAGCATATGACTTGTACTTACTATCTAAAATCAATGTAGAGGTTAGTTTATTTCTCCTTATTTTATTCTACTTTTCTTTTTTGTTTTCTCTTCACTTCTACAATCTTCCATCACCCCTGCTGAATTCAATTACCCAATTTTCAGTAGAATAAGAGTAACGAAACGAAGATCAAGTAGTTTTATTTCTTTTACTCAAAAGTGAACTTTAGTTCTTCAGTTCGAAAGTAAAACGGAAAGGAAATTCTATTTTACCCCTCCTTTTTTTATCGAAAAGGGAGGGGTAAAATAGAATTTTTAGAATTGCACTGAATTCCAACTCACTTTACAGACCTTTACCTCTGAGACTTACAAACCTTTAACTTTGAGACTTCTCAGAAGAAAAGCTTCAAATAATCCCCAGCACCTAATACAATTCAAACTATTTCTTCCCACTCCCTTTCCTTGAAATCTCCATCAATCAGAAACGTTCCCATATTTTTGCACATACGGTTATTCATACATTCACACATCTCCTAAAAGATTCTATTATTGTCGCGTTTGCTGATGTAAAAGCCACCGAAATAGAACGCATTTTGAATAACAGCAGGGTCTCTGTTTCCACACTAAGAAAACACGTCCCGAATTCCGCAGGAATCGTTGGAAGAATTCTAACAATGGAAGAATTTGGGTCTACTTAACCACGTAAGAAAACGCACGCCACTTTATAGGTGGCTATGCACATTCCTGGAATAGATGTGAATTGTGTTCTTGTTGATAAAATGGATTAGTGTGACAAGAAGGTCGTTTTGATGTCCTCCAGAGTTCAAAATACATAGCATATGCAGAGTTTGTTCGATTAAAAGGTCAAGAAAAGAAGAACAAACCATCAAGTAGGCATTGAAACCAAGAAGAAGAAATTTCAGGTATCTATGTATCAGTGGCGGTCTTAGAGGGAGGGTGAGGGAGAGGGGGGGGGGGCGGTAAAAATTCTTTTCAAGTGAAGGTGCATGGCATTAGCCTGCACTGTGGAAAATCTTTGGGGTGCTTCTCAAAATTTTTGAGGGAAGTAACCCCCCGAATAAAATTTTTTTTACAAAGCTAACCTGAATTTTTAGAAATATCAAAAGCTATTTCAACTGTTTGCAAGAAAAAACGAGTTACTTGCATTTTTACAACCCATGTATGTGAATTTCAAAAAATTCGCGATCATTTGAACAAATAAGCTTGAAAACGAGCTGATAGATGATTAAAGGTGAATGTTGAAAATTTCTGCCAAGACAACTAACCGAAATTCCACAAGACGTATGGGAAAGTTCCCCGGGTCGCCTGCGGAAGTTCCGTAAGTTGCGAAAGTTTCGAGAAATGCGATCAAAAGCAAAAAAAGAACACCTAAGCGAGATTCGAACCTTGCTATATTAACTGTGACCCATTTAATCCCTGCACTAAGGCGAGACAACATCATAACAGACAACACATCCAAAAACCTGCGGAACTACTAGCAGGTCAAAGTACTGCGGAACCGCTGGCATTTTCCGAAACTTTAGCAGCATTTTGTAACAAGTCCTGCGGAAGCTCCCGTCAATCAACCCGTCTGACGTGGAAATCCAACGGAAGTACCCATTTTAAACGTTTAAAATTTTGTAATAATAAACAAAATCCTGCGGAACCGCTGCAAATTTTACTTATCTTTTGGAAGTTCTGGTGAATTGTCTGAGTGTTTAAACTAAATTTGAGCGCATTCTTCTTGACAGTCGATTTACTAAATTCTTACCCCTTACTACGATAATTAGAGGGAATTAACACTAAAGTATGAAAATTTGGTTGACTCAAAAAGGGAATCGAGCTTTGATCCCAGCGATCGCGGCAGTGCCTCATAGCACTACGTCACTCGTCCATCAAACATAAAATGTATATTACTCATGATACGACATCAGAAATGTACACACCGTCACAAAAGCGCACACTCTTTTTCCTTCTTTACTCTTTTATACTTCGAATAAATCATCGTCTTCCAAGTAATCCAACTTACTGGAATATCTAGCTTCATTCTAATGTACTAATGTAATTCTATGCCACTAAGCTGTGCTCTGGCTAGAAGCCAGTTTTATGAGAGTGCTTTTTTCTCGACGATTCCAGAGCGCAGATGAGATTCTATGATTTATTGCATCATTCATATGGGTGTGGCATCAATAGCGGAGTCCAGAAAAATGCTGAGAAATTTCGGGAAATACCAGTGGCCGTATTCATCAACGAACCCCGAGGGTTAAACTAACCCTGGAGGGTTAGTTTAACCCTGGAAAGCGTTTAACCCGTATTCATGAAACACAGGGTAGGCTTAACCCTGATGGTTAAATCTAACCTTGAGGATTAATTTTACCCCGAAAGCGACTAACCCGTATTCATCAACGAACCGTGAGGGTTAAACTAACCCTGGAGGGTTAAACTTACGTGATTCATCAGGGTTAATTTAACCCTAGCTCAGAGCAAGGTTAACTCTACCCTAACACTTCATACAAACATCTACTTGCTCTAATAGTTCTATAGAAAACGATCAACGAGTGTTGTAGTGCTTAGTATTAGCTGATGTTATAGTATCTAGTTTCAACTTCGTTTCGTGTTCAGATTCGAAGTACATGAAACACTGACTTCGCGAGAAAAAAAAAATCCTAGCTTGGTGACAAATGAATGCAACGAGGAAAAATGGTTGCGCATTCCACTCTGACAAGTGCCAAAACAGAAGAATTCCTATGATAACACGCATTGACCCTCAAAAGAGTAGCACAAGCCCGGTATAAAACGAACTACGCAAAAGAACTTACACGGCACAATTGCACACATGAAAATAAACCCACGCTGTAAGATTAGATGCTGCACAAATATGCTAGAGATGTATCATAAAAACTAGTGCTAGAAGCTTATTCGTTATTATACTACTATAACAGTGAAAGAATAGAAATATAAAGTAAATTTAGCGTACTTAGGCATTCTGTGATGTGAGTTTGCACAGCGCACGCATAACTGACGCCTTAACCCTCCAGGGTTAGTTTAACCCTCAGGGTTCATTGGCCGTATTCATCAACAATAGGGTTCGTTGATGAATACGGCCACAGGTTCGTTGATCGATACGGGTAGATCGCGTTCCGTGGTAAACCCTAGCCTATGGTTGATGAATACGGCCAATAAACCCTGAGGGTTAAACTAACCCTGGAGGGAAGCTTAACCCTCAGGGTTCGTTGATGAATACGGCCACAGAAAGTACTCTGTCCTACAGGCAAAGGTTATTCCATAGTTTTCCACATTCAAGAACAAAAATTAATAAATACTGCCAACTAGGCAACTATTTCAAGAAATTTTTCCACAATCTAGATACATGAAGATAAATTCTCTTGTGACTTGCAGAATTTGCTCAAGAACAGGTTCCTTGTATTTTTGCAAAAATGGGACAATTTTTCTGAAATAGGAACCTGTCTCCATGTCACGATGTAAACATGATGGAGGTAAAAACATTCTCAAGCGAGGTCACGACCATGTAACTGGATTTTAGGGAAAAAGAAGCGAAAAATTTATAAATTTTCGATTTATATTGAATAAATTCGTTAAAAAGGAATGAATGAATGAATGAATGAATGAATGAATGAATGAATGAATGAATGAATGAATGAATGAATGAATGAATGAATGAATGAATGAACGAATGAATGAATGAATGAATGAACGGAATGAATGAATGAATGAATGAATGAATGAATGAATGAATGAATGAATGAATGAATGAATGAATGAATGAATGAATGAATGAATGAATGAACGGAATGAATGAATGAATGAATGAATGAATGAATGAATGAATGAATGAATGAATGAATGAATGAATGCAGGAATGAATGAATGAATGAATAGAGTGATGACTGAATGTTTAGGCTGGGGTAACTTGAGTGATTGAAGCTGGGTAACCATAGATGACTTGAGAGTAAGTGCTACGATCATTTAATAGCAAGCTTAACAATCACGGAAGAAGAAAGCCTACTTGAAATCCAAAGTCACTGACTGTACTCGCTTTCTTTCCACCTCACATCACACATTTTCTAAGTGCACACATACAGTATTCCACTTCACTCAAGAGTTTTACATTGCTTTACCGTTCAAGAGTTGCTGGAAAAAACCAGTTGGGTACAAATATGCGAAGTTCTTTTGGTGTTGGTATGCATAGAAAAAAGTGCTTAGCGCTTCAGACCTACAATAGACATATGAACCGTTATAATGCTAACTGCAAGATTTGAGGAGGAATAACGACAATTCAGAGGTGGAAGTAACGAGTATGGCAAATTCTGGAACAACCTGATTCCTGAAATCGCTCAAAAATAATCTTATTATGTCATGGCGATCACTATAATTCCTAGGTTTAACGAACCGGAGCATTCAAGTCATTAGAGGACAAAGGCCAAAGAATAACCGCCTTTACCTAATAAGTTTTATAAGAAAAATTGAATTGCTTCAAAAAACTAGGCATTAATGACTACCGCAACGTCGAAGACTTCAGGACCTTTCGGCGAAAGATAAGCGCAAAATACTCAAACAATTGTTAAATTTTTTCTTTAATTATAGAAACGGGGTCAGATGATAGTAGGCAGTTTAAATTGATTTAAAAATAAGCCTTGAATTTAGTCCAGAGATTTCTATATGGGCTGTCGTTGTACATTAGAATGGATTATGGCATGATATATGTTAAACCGGCAGCGAAGTTACGGTATTCTGATGCCGGCTGAGGCTACGGTCGGGTTACTGTAGCTCAGATAATTCATGCTAGCTAGGGTCATAGGCTTTGCTTAGTTGATTGAGCATAGAAGGAATTCGATAGTACCTATTTTGGCGCTCCAGCGCTACAAAGGCTTTCTCTAAAGTCCACGAAATACTTGATCCACTTGATCCCTTCGCTATTGGTCAGATAAGTAAGTTGACCAATAGTGAAGTGGATCAAATGGATTAAGTGGATCAAGTGGATAATGTGGATTAATATGGCGCGTGTTTAAAACATAGAGGTTTTTGTATTCATATTCCAGTTTGGTTCAGAAGGAGATGGATCTATTGTCACTTTCCATTCCCCATAAAAAAACCAAGGTTTTGAGATAATTGGACATATTCTCTACAAATCACAAAAACTAATTTGACTGCAATTTTATCTTGGATCAAAACAAAAGAAGAATTAAGAAGAACAGATACAGAAATAAGCAAATCAAGCTTTTTTTTTGAAAATGAGTGTTGAGAGATGGGTCCGAGCTCAAAATCCAGAATAAAAATCGACAACTCGGACAAAAATTCGCCAAAGTGAGGATATTCCGGCTCTCATTTGGCGCTAATGTGTCGCCAATCCCACCGTACTGAAGGTCGTCCACGACTACTTGACAATGGTCTCAACGACATTTCAACGTCGCCGCCGCCGCGTAATTTTCACGAACATTCGTTGTGAGAAAAAAGCAGCTTTGGATAATTACGTTGGCCAGATTTTTCATACGAGAAGATCCGGAGATGGGTACAGATCCTTGACTGCACTTAGGTATGGGCAACAATTTAGGTAATTCACCCTTTGTCGAGATGCCGGGAAGAGCAAGAAGAATTTTGCACGTACAGCTACGACTGGTTCCTTATTTACGCTACCACAATATCCTATATGTCCCAATCGAGAAATTGCCCTAGTTCTGTCTACCAGATTTTCTTGGAAGGTGGAAAGGGGGAGGAGAAAAGAGACAAAAAAATTTCTTCTACAAAATTAGTACCTAGGATGTCCTTTTTTTGTTTGAGCATGATTGGGAGGCCTTGAGTTAAGCCACTGACCAAGCGACAGCTCATACGATTCATTTGTAGCAGGGAAATACATCTGAAAGCTCTCGCCCAGTACCGTACCCGAGAGCACCGATTGGTCGAACAAAGTACGGTCTGGGCATGAATTTAGAGTTGAAAATTCTCGACCGCCAATGAATCGTATGAGTGCCAAGATGGGAAAAGGGCTTGGAGGGGGAGGGGGGTTTTGGAGAGGAGAAGAAGAAAGAGTAACAGAAATTGTTTACAGGACGGGTACCTGGATTTCTTAAGTGATTATAGATAGAAAAATTTGGTTCAGCCATTGCCCAGTGGCAGCTTATATGATCCATTCATTGCCGAAAAATTCGTCTGGAAGCTCTAACCCACTACCGTATCCGAGAGCGCCGGTCGAACGGACAAACTACGGTCTGGGCAAGAGTTTATAGTCGAATTTCTCGGTCACGAATGAATCATAGAAGCTGCCGCTTGAGCAATAGCTTAGTTACATAAGCCTCTTAATTAGATTCCATATAAGTAATCCAGCCAGATTTGCTTAGATACTGCAGCATACGAACTGAGGTTTAAATGCCAATGAATTTTTGGATTCGAGGTTTCTTCGCAAGATAGCCAAATGTAATATAAACATTTTAGCAAGTGAGACTTCGTGAAAAAGATTTAAATCAAAAATTCCAGATGAATACGAAAATATGAACTTTCACTTGCCTCCTTGACCTTCACTTTTTCTGCAAAAATTTGTTGCAATCAACTCGAAGGCCAATCACCCCTCACAAAGCACTTTAAGTACGGTAAGTTCTTCGTTGGCAGAAAATGGCAATGCACTAGGAATTCGCCAAAGCAGAAAAAAACCTTTTTACAACCACAGCCAGCTGCTTTTCCACTCTTTGTGAAAAACTCAAGGTTAAGGAATTTTTATGGCATTCATTCAGCACTTTCGCCCTGTGAATGTCTAGCTCATCAACGAAAACCAGCTCCTTCTTCGGGGGGTGAAGTGCATATGGCGCGGTGAAAGAGAAGGGCCACTAGAATGAAAAAATGGCCCATTATTTGACAAGCAGCTACTTCAGAGGTTGAGAAGCGAATCTGTTCGTTGAAATGTCAGCATCGATAAGGATGCGCATCACTTTCGAGCGCTTGGTTTTTTGAACTTGATGATAGGTTTGGATGGTTTCGCTGGGAAACGATTATAGCAGGAAAATCTGGACAAAATTCCATAAGAAGCCAAACGGG